TTACTTAACGGTAGGGAGAGAGAGAGAGCGAGAGAGAGAGAGCGCACGCGCACGAGAGACTACAGGCTGTCATTAAGGCTAAGGGCTGCCCGACAGTATTCATAGTTGTGTAAATACTGTCATACTAACAGCTGTCTGAATTATTTTGGTTGATTGTTATCTATTACATACCTTTCTATCAAAGTTATCTAACATTATCAAGATGAATTTGTTCTGACACAGTGTAACTCTGAGTTCTTGTCATATTTTATTATCATTTTCTAAACTATAGTGAATAAACTGTGATGATGTGAGAAATGTTGAAGGTGTGTGAATTAATTTTGGTTTGACTGTATCTATTTGATAAATGAAGTTAACCAACTAACATTATACATACTATTTTGGTTTCTGTACCCAATATTTAAAAAATTTACAAATGCAATAAAAATATCGGTATCGGTACTCGGTATTGACAAGTACCAAAAAATAAAAGTATCGGTATCGGGCGAGTACTGGAAAAAGTGGTATCGGTGCATCCCTAGTGCTCGTTATACCACAGTTTCAGATTGTCTTCCTTAATCTTCTTTACGTGTAATGGAGCAACCATATCTAAATTGCTATAAAAGAGAGAGTCCTTAGTTTCTATAACAACATCATTTTCTGAGCTATTGGATTTGCTGAGGAATTGAGAGTCAGGAAGATTTTACAAAGCAGTCTTTTATTATAGAAGTGATGGTTCTGCAGTATTTGTAACGAGGAGTTGAGTTTTGCAGCTTTAGCAACATGTAGTATACACAAGACTTGATAATGAACCAAGATATCATCACTCTGCTGCAGAATTTCAACACCATTAGCATCAATTCCATGTGACAGTATTAAATCTAAAGTATGATTATGACAATGAGTAGGCCCTGACACATGTTGTGTGACCCCAATAGAGTTCAAAATGTCTATAAATGCTGATCCCAATGCATCTGTTTCATTATCAACATATTAAAATCAACAACAATTAAGACTATATCTGCAGCCAGCACTAACTCAGAAAATCAGCAAATTATTTGATAAAGTCTGTATGGTGGCCTGTATACAGTAACCAGTACAAACAAATGTCACCGGGGATTTTTCATTAACAATTATTTCTTTAGATAATGATATGTGAAGCACCATTACTTCAAACGAATTATACTTGAAACCAGCATTCTGAGAAATACTGTCAGGGGAGCATGAAAGGAGGACTCATAAGCACTGAAATACTGAAAACATTACTATAAATTGTAGCAACACCTCCTCCTTTACCTTTTGGACGTGGCTCATGTTTAAATAAAATTTATATAAGCATTTTATATTAATATATCTTGATCTTTCCGCTTACATGCCATGATTACCCATTTATGTGTATGTAACCATTAGGTTTCTGAACCCTGGTTTAGGTTATGGTTGAATTTTAAACTGCAGTAAATAAAACCTTTTGATCTTCCTTATGGATAGTGCAACAACAAGAACCCTGATGTTTTGAAAGGTGATTGACAGGTAAATCCCTGAGCTTCCCTTTCTCCAGTCCGGTCATGCGACATGCTTTTCTTCCATAAACAGATAGCCTAAATTGCACGGAATGGGTGACACATTCTTTATGGCAAGGAATTTTGAATTTCGATTTTCATAAAGCTGCCAACATCTTCACCGATTATTCAGATAGCACCTTGTCTGCTCATGTAAATGTATGGAGATTTATTCTGTAGTCATCAGAATCCTTTCCATGTGCAAGCAAAAGGTATTCTTCAAAGCAGCTTAAATGAGCCTCCGTTATTGGATGGGAGTTTTGTTTTGCAACACGTGGTGGGAATCCGAGTTGTAACTTTCCTTTATGATCCCTGACAGCTAACAGAGACAGGGCTGATTGGGTTTCCACTCAGCTAGGCACGTATCTTCTGCATTTCCTGCATGCTCATTAAACTTGTTTTTGGCTTTAATGAAAGGCATCCCAAGGTTCTAGAGCTGGATTATCTCATCACACTTTATCTCAGCACTGTTTTGCCATTTAATGATATGTTTGTGGGTTTTTCCCAGTGGTATTTTAGTAATCTTCCTAAATAATGCTTATTGTTCAAAGTGTGTAATGAAACTCTTTGACATTGTATAAACCATGGGATGCATTTGCTGTCTATTGACAAATATGTTAAAGAAGTTGTTAAAAAAGTGGATTTTAGGCATCTGTTTGCATGGATGAATGAATCATGTAGTTCCTGAAGAACATCTAAATGCAAATCAGTCTTTATCGTTAGGATTATGCTCATTTCTTAGATTAATTGTTAGTTGATTCAATCCCTAATGTCAGCATAGCAAGAGAAAGTGATTATGCTGATAAGATTTTTTCTTACTGTTCTACTGTTGTCTTTTATTTATCCGCTATTATTGTGCTCCCTGCGGGAAAACATTTTTTTAATGTATATTTATCAGGTTAAGTGGTGCAATGGTGTCACCCCATTGCTTAAAGGCTGCTGCTGTTGTAGATCAGTTACCTTACTAATGAGCGTTGCTACACAAGACAAGCCTTATCACAGATTTATGATGAGAACCTTAAGTATTCCTATGCCACACAAACCCTGCAGTTTACTAATGTTTATTTACCAGTGGGAGCCTGTTAGATTCAGATAGCAAAAGATGTGTTGCGCTTGTCAATGTGCTGTTTCTTTTCCTGAACTCCAGACAGCAAAATGCTGACCTTTCTGAAATATTCTGTTGTTTTCTCTTTCGGCTGGGTGCCCATGAAGGATTTTTGATTGTCAGACCAGAATGATGTTTTTTGACGCAAAGTTCAGTCTGATATTTACTGAATCGTTTCCCATGTGCAATATGTACTCTGAAAGATAAATCTTATTGAGTAGTAGATTGTCAGAGTGTCCAGAAGAAAAAATCTATTTTGTATGTATATGTTTCCTATAGATGATGTGAAACTCATTGAGGCACATTCTATGTCTTTATTCTGAAAATGAAAAGATGTTTACATATATAACAAAGTACGTAGTTTGGAAAAGGAGGAGGCGGGAACTGGCGAACATTTAAACATAATTTTAATAAACAAATTGAAAATTGAAAATAGCTCGACAGCCCCTCGTGGATGACTGCTGCACACAAACAGAACCAAAACAACAACATAAAATCCTCTCTCATCCTTCACTGTCGTTACTCCTCCTTTTATCCTTCTGGAGCTCCTCCGTGGGACTCGAGATCGGTGAGTGGCGCAGGTGTCGCTCATTATCATTAATTCCACCGGATTCGCTCCGTTCCCACGGCCTTCTGCCCTGCCCCTCTCGTCACAACATATTTCTAAACTACTGTGTATGTGTCAAGGCTTTCAGTGATGGATATCATATGACTATTGTCATCTAAGCCTGGTTGCTTTTTCCAGTTCTGTATGTTTCTCTTTTGTCTTTGTCACAATCCTTTGTCGTCTCTTGCAGTCCAGCCCCACATTACTAAGCTAAGGAACGTGACGGCTGTGGAGGGCAGTGGTGCTATGATCTCCTGCAAGGCTGAGGGTGAACCTTTGCCTGAAATCTCCTGGAGGAGAGCAAGTGATGGGCACAGCTTTTCAGATGGAGATAAGGTACAATATTATTCTTAGAGTAAATAATGTTTTTTTTTTAAATATGTTCAAAGATTTTGGCACGGTAAGTTGTTTTTAAAAGAAATATATTATGCTCACAAGGGCTGCATTTATTTGATAATGTTGTGAAATATTATAATTTAAATAACTATATTTTAATATGCAGTGGGTATAGAAAATAATCACCCCCTTTTAAAATGATTACATTTGGTTGCTTTGCAGCCTGAAATTAAGACAGACACAGTTTTTGTTTTACCCAACTGTATTTACTCAGTACAACTTATAACAACCAAGTGAAAACTATAACGCCATGTCAAAAAAAAAACAGAATCATTGAGTTGGGAAAAGGATCACCCCCTTCTAAAAATGACTTGTGAACTCAATCAGATGTAGCTAATCACCTTCTCAATGGCACACAAAGCCATTTGATGTTCAGCTGTGGTCATTTTGATTGATTTCAGTCATTTGGTAGTGCAACTGAAACAAACAATCAGCTATGGGTGGAAAGGCACAGTCAAAAGATCTCCGGGATAAAGTTGTGGACAGGTACAACTCAGGAGTACAACTTCTAGGCATTTATCAATGCCTAGAAGCACAATGAAGTCTATTATTAAGACGTGGAAAGTATTTGGTACAACACAGACCCTCCCTGGATCAGGACGTCACTCCAGACTGGATGAAAAAGCCAGGGAAAACTGGTCAGAGAGACTACCAAGAGGCCTACAACATCAACACCAAAATATATGTCTGGCGGAAATCCAATACAGCTCACCATCCAAATAACACCATTCCTACAGTAAATCATGGAGGCGGTAATATCCTGTTATGGGAGTGTTTCTCTGCAGCAGCAACTGGAGCGCTTGTCGGGATAGAAGGAAAAATGGATGGGGCAAAATAATGTCAAATTCTTGAGAAAAAAATGCTGCCGTCTGCCAGAAAGTTGTCAATGGGAAGAAGGTTTACCTTCCAACATGACAGTGACCCAAAGCACGCAGCAAAACTGACCACACAGTGATTGACAGAGAAAAAGGTGAATGTCCTCGCATGACATAGTCAAAGCCCAGACTTAAACCCCATGAAAATCTGTGGAATGACTTAAAGGTGGGGTAAGCGATTTTTCAAAAACGCTTTAGAAAACTGATTCGGGCCGAATAGCAAAACAAACTTGTAGCCAATCAGCTGTAGGGTTTTTATTAGCTCTAAAAAGGGAAATATTTATGACGAATTATAACTGGTTATGATTCATAATAAATATTTAGATTATATCTTCGAATTAACTGTAGCAGAATCAATATTACAATTATTTGATCTGTCCGTCCACCGAGCAGACAATATAATCATTTATCAATTCGAGGAATGTTTATTTTTCTGGTCACGGAGCAATAAACTGTCCTTCTTTGTGCAGTGCTAGCAGTAATTTAGCAAAATGTAGCAAGGGTTCACACATTCATTGACTTCGAATTGTGAGCAACAAACAGAGACAATCCGTTGTGAATATAAGGGATTTAATAAATTAAACTATATCTAACATATAACTAACTAAAACATATATACACAGAATGAAACAAAGTAAGGAAAAGAGATAGTGGGGGGGACTGGTTAGAATCTCCTTGAATGCGAAGAACCATCTGGCAATTTAAACCCCCATTAAAAGTAAAGTCTCTGACCAGAACTGTAATTTATATGCAAATGTCAAAAGGCTAAAAGGGTCTCTTAAGCCATAAACACCCCAAAGATCATGCATTATTCTACGCAGACGCTACACAGCAGTAAGGGGCGTGTCTACTCATGATGTGGAGGAGAGAGCATTCAGTGCACAGCACAGGATGGACATTAGCCGAGCCGAGCAACAGAAAGATAGAGATGGCGGATAAAAAAAACAAAAGAGGAAAACGTCTGTGGAACAAAAGAAGGCAATAAGGCAAGAAGTAGGATCCATGTAAATATCGGATCAACTTTCCAGCGCTGGAGAGAACGGTAGGAGCGGGAAGGCCTGCGATCGAACGCCGAGGTTGCTTTGTTTCTTCTCAATAGGTGCACCATGTCTGCGCCGCAACGGCTAAAGTCTGTCACAAAAGCGACAAAGCGACCTTTGAAATTTGTGCCTGTACATCATAAATAGAGCGCAGCAGCAGTTTTCTGTCGGGGATTTGTCGTGTTTTGCTTTGTTTCACAGAACTAATCGTTGCCTGGGTTGCGTACGTATGTGTGGGGCGGAGCTATCAAAATAGGGGCGATACCCTTTTGGGGTAGGGGAGTGTTTGTTTTGGTTATTTCAAATGTCAACATTGGCTAACAGAAATCACTTACCCCGCCTTTAAAGACTGCAGTCCACAAGTGGTCACCATCAAATTGAACTGAATTTGAGCAGTTCTGCAAAGAAGAGTGGGCGAATATTGCAATGTCTGGATGTTAAAGTATATCCCAACAGTATAATGGGTGTAATTAAAGCAAAGGGTGTTTCAACAAAATACTGACACAATGGGGTGATCCTTTTTCCAACTCAGTGATTCTGTTTTTTTCTTCTTTTTTTCTGGCATGTTGGTGTTATATCTTTCACTTGGATGTTATAAGTTGCGCTGAGTAAATACAGGTGGATAAAACAAAAACTGTGTCTGTCTTCATTTCAGGCTGCAAAGCAACAAAAGATGATTCTTTTCTATACATACTGTATTTTAATGTGATGGCAAAGGCTAATTTTCAGCAGAAATTACTCCAGATCCTTCAGAAATCATTATAATATTCTGATTTCTCAATGTAATCAATGATGAAAACTGTGATGCATCTTTTTCAGAATTAGTAAAATAGAAAGGTCAAAATATATATTTTTTAATTTTACTGACACTAATCTTTTGAATGGAAATCTTTGTCTTCATGTGATCTGTTAATGTGATGATGTAATAGGTTTTGGGACAACAAGCACTTTGCTGTCATGTACATTTCTTTTTTTGAGTGTTATGAACGTATACTGTACTTTTTTTTATAGTGTTCCATAAACCCATTTCCAAGAGCATGTGTACACTGAAAAGAAATTCATAAATTTTCACTCAGGAATTGCTAGTAAATTTTGGAGATAATTAGGAAAAAACAGCAAGTAACACACTGAATTAAACATGACATTTTGAAGTGGAAAGACTGAAATAGTATTTTTCTTGTAAAATGTACTCCAGTAATCTTTGTTAGCATTTTTTCAATGTATTGTATTTTAACCACCATTTCCTCTCAGTCTCTGTGTAGCATTTTACCAGCACATTAACTGCCAGATATGTGTGACGTTCGGCCTTTGCTCACGCCCACAATAATAATGGATATAATAGACTAGCATGCAGAGACACAGCCCTGAGGCACGCTCAGTCTGTGTACCGGTTAAAGACTGAAGAAGACTTTCTGTGCTCCAGTAATGCTCTGCATTTCCTACCGGCATATGCTCTGTGTCTGTGCTGAATGCGAATGCGACCAGCAGAATGGCAAATGCGATTGCAGTGGCCAGGCGGGAAAGATGATGGGAACAGAAACTGTCAAAGATCATTAGAATTCATTGAATGGTGGGTTGTTAGCATCAACAATAGAGGCAAACGGAGCCTGACTCCAGGGAGGAACTGTGAAAAGACTCCCCATCACAGTTAATCTTGCGAGAGCTGCTCAGATAGCGATTAGAATAGCCTGCATGGCTGGGAAATGAAAGAGGATTCATATAAAGGTGTAGGAGAGCAGCGACGTTTGCCACCACTCAATATGAACAAAATGAGTTTAATTTAAGCTGCTCTTTCAGAGGTGTGGGGATGTGGAGGTAAGGTAGGGGAGTTAGTCTGCTACAATTACACAGGGGCCAGGACCAAACCTGTGCTCTGAATTCAAAAGTTGCACACAATTGATCTGGGAGCCTCTTCTCTTCCCTCTGTTTTACTCTGAACGGTTAAAGAGTTAAAATTGGACACCATTCAGTGCTAAGAAAAAATTGTTGTGCGGAGAGAGATTTTACATTTGGCGCTTTAGCATGTCTGTGGGGGCCAATTAACAGCATAGAATATGACATGACTTACTTTGGAGGTGGCTACATGCAGAAAAAAAACTAATTAAACACTTTGTACATTAAAAAATGCAGCTAAATCCATTGACCACCAAACCAAAAAAAAGCCCTTGTGGTGCTTAAGACCAGTCCATCCTTGACCAGGTGGTGGGTCTTGTTTTGTTGTTCCCGGTTTAATGCATTGAACCAGCTATGTTCCAAAAACCAGCTTTCCTGTCTTAAAAAAAATAGTTCACTTAAAAATAACTTACTTTCTTCCATGGAACACAAAAGGTAGATATCGGAAGAACATCCTGGAGCACTCATTTCAATATAATAAAAGTGAGAGTTTGTCAAATGACAAAAAACACCATTAAACTAAAAGATTGTCACACTATAAAGTAGTCACACTATATTCCAAGTCTTCTGAAGCAGTTTGATGGATTACTGTGACGATGAGACCAAGCTTTAATTTATTCACTGAAAATCTTGACATCGAGCCATTCCTCCATGGTGTTTTCATAATGAAATGGTGACTTTATTAAAAAAGTAGTGTCTATTCATAAAAGAATCATTCATTTGAATCATGTCTTTTCAATCAATTGGTCTGAATCGTTTGTTCACAAATCAAACAGATCCAGTCCTTGAGTTCAAGCCCCATGACTCATTTACCTAGTGTTGGTAAATACTGACTTACATTTTTCTGTTTCTCACACAAAGCTATTGTATGGCTTCAAAGGACTTGAAATACAATGCACAAATCATATGGGCTGCTTATATGATACTTTTATGACGCTTTTCCATCTTTTTTTAAGCTTGAAAGCCTTTCATTGTAATTTGCATGGAAAGTGTAGGATTTCTGTCTTCAAAAACAGAAACCATTTAATCTGTGAGCAGACACAAACGAACATTGAATCTCTGCATTCCACCGGAAAAACTAAAGGTTCTCCTCCCCAGCCATCTGTGGTCGTAAAACTACATACAGGGTCAGCTCAGTGTCTCAGCAGTTCCTGACCTCTTCGGCTTATCTTCTCAAGAGACTCAAAGAAAAGCACTAAGACCACAATAACTGACCCCTGCATCTGGACTCATTTAAGCAACAGAACGTCAGGGTTGTTTCGTGACTGGCTTCAGCATAAATAAACCATCTAATAAACCACAGAACAAAGAACCTGATATCTGGAAATGTTCCAGCGACAGATACTCCCGGACCCCATGACCGTTTAACGCATAAATTGATAATCCGATAAACAGAAAGCGACAGATTAATAGCTCCATGTCCAGCAAGAAGAATAGCAGGTCTATGACCAGGACTGTTTTTACAACCTCCTTGACCTCAGGGTTTTCTCTGTGCTCCCCCTTCCTCTAAATTCCAAGAAAATGTGCCTTCTCTTGGAGAGACAAAGGAACACGCCAAACTCACCGGATGATTTCAACAGACAATCATTTATGCGTATGAAAGGGCAACCATATTCACAAACAATATGTTGTATGTCTTATATATGCTTGAGGAGTCAAAATTTAACCTTGCAACTTTAATCAATGTTTTGTTAACCCCTTTTAGCAGATAAAGCTATTAATATGTGAAGTTTAGTGTTGAATGAAAGCGTGTGATAATTGCCGAACAGCGGTCTGAATGAAAAAGTGGGAAGTATGTACAATACTCGCATTAAGAAACTTTATAGAAGTATCGACCAAATCTTCGCAAAGATATTTATCCACATGATAAATTGAAGCCTCATGTTAATGTATGCACGCTCCGCCTTGCAAGAAGTCGATTGGAAGATGGACTTATGCCGCGGATCAAAAACCCAATGCGAGACAGACTTGCTTGCTTCTTCGATTTTCACCGTGTTAATAGCACTCCAACCTGTGCTCACACGCTTACCATCAAAGAGATCGGTCATTCAAAACTCAAAGACTTCAGTCGAAACTTCGTGATTGCCAGAGATCTTCAAAAGCCTAAAGTCTTGCAAACTCAGACTTTACAGAAGAACTGCTCAAGCCTCTGCGTCATCAAGAAACCAACCAATCTCCGAAAGGAATTCCCAGAAACCACGTCATCCAGACGCCCGACCAGTAACCAATCAAAAGCCGGGATTCCCTCAAGCAGCCAAACAAGGAAACGTCACCCAAACGCAAGTAAACAAACAAAATCTTCTATCTGCTGAACTGGTGCCGAGCTAATTTTAAGCAGTAAACATAAGCCAAGTCTCTGCTTTATGAATTTTCTCAGGTTGCAAGTCAAAGAACTGTAGCGAATATCTTGCTAAAACTTTGGGCTTTCCTCAGAACTCCATTAACATAATTTCCCTGAACCTTTGTGTGTATGTGTGTGTGTGTATGTGTGTTTTAGCTTAGTTTAATGTAATCTAGAATAACCAATACATTCTTGTTTCATTTATAAAGAATCATTGTCTGGTGTCGTGACAATTTTAAAGTTGAACCTTGCCAAGATCTTGTTACCTAGCTCGTAGTTTATAACTTATCAAAGAACGTATTAACCCGTGGCCAGAGAAAATACAAATATTCAAATTGTTAAAATATACTGAGGTTAACGTCTTGCTGGCCAACTGTTGATAAAGTGTAAACTATCAAATTGGAAATCAGTTCTAATCAGGTTGACTTCAAATTTTCAGATTCCATTCCATTCAAAACCTGAGCTAGAATAATAATGATTAATTCCCTAAGAAAAGTAATCTGTCTTTACAAAAGTCAGAGTTCAGAATATCTTCTTTTGTGTTCCACTGAAGAAAGTAAGTCATACGGGTTTGGAACGACATGAGGGTGAGTAAATAACGACAGAATAAAAATTTTGGGGGAGTGAATTATCCCTTTAAGCTGGTGTGACCTGTTTCTTTCACCAGGGAGCGTAAGGGAAATCGGTCTGGCTGCTGTGATGCATGTGTCAGCAGGAGTGTGGAGATTAGTGACTGACTGAGGGCAATTTTGGTCAGCTCCGATGATGAGCGGGGTGTGGAGACAGGAAGACGGGCCTCAAAACTGTCATCATACACTGCCTCTCGTTAACCACACTACTGCTCACTCTCACTAATCAAAACTGACACTGACACTGCCACACATCCCTCTACTGCTTATCATGCAGTGAATGCTTCAGAGGGCAATGGGAAAAACTGAAGAGTTGATTTACATCAGAGCGGTGTTGTGGTCTACGAAACAAAGGTCTGTGTGATGTCTCCTCGACTTGTTTGCTTGATGGTTAAAGAGCAGGTCATATGGTATTTGAAAGTGTCCTAATATTGTGTTGGAGTCCCCTACAACAGGTTTAAATGCATCTAAGGTCAGAAAACATTGTTATTTTCTCAGAATATACATTTAATATTAGAATCATTTTTCAATGATTTCGAAACGACTCATTCAAAGCAGTTCTGAGCTTAATGTCTGTAAACTCCTCCCTCCCATAAGCCTACTCTGCTCTGATTGGTCAGCTGGCCAAGTCTGTTGTGATTGGTCTTTCTGTATACAATGCATGTCCGAAACTAAACTCTCATTACCATAATTCATTTTTTGCTCTGGAAGGTTACTTGTAAACAAGGATGCTATAAGGTTACAAAAATGGCATCGATATTACCTTATCAATTCTCCATCTCAAGCTCGACTTGTTCAGGACATTTCTTAGTGGTTTAGTTAGTTTAAACTTTGTATGTGGTACTTTATGTGATGTGACAGCAGTTTTATTGCATTCATTATTATTATTATCTACTTATTTGAGGTGCATGCATGTGTTAGAATGCCCAGTGAGGCTGAAAACAGCGTCTTCTCGACATGATGTAAACACACTAACTAGCGGAAGTGTTTGTGGGCAGGTCAGAGTGTTTGTATTTTTCGGGCAGGCGGGGACTATGCAAATGTGTTACCTTGTGACGTATATAGGAAACAGGCAGAAGATTCAAAAATATAACGACTCGTTAAGGCGGTTCAGAGTCGACGCTTTCTTTTGAGAGACAATATCTTTATTTAGAATGCACTTTTTTGATTAACAACTTTGCCAACTGTTTACATTGAAGGATAGCTACGTTACAACTGCAAAAAATATATATTTTGAAAACCCATATGTATGTATGTGTGTATCTATGTATGTACAGTATGTATCTGTCTATCTATCTATCTATCTATCTATCTAGCTAAGAAAAAAGTATCTTATGTTCACCAAGGCTGCATTTATTTTATTAAAAAGACAGTAAAAACAGTAATATTGTGAAAATATTTTTTTAAATACATTTATAAATAGATTGAAAATAGAAAACGGTTCTTCATTCCTGTAATGGCAGAGCTGAATTTTCAGCATCATCATTACTCCAGTCTTCAGTGTCACATGATCCATCAGAATCATTGTAATATGCTGAATTGGTTCTCAAGAAACATTTTTTATTATTATCAATAGTTGTGCTCAGTGTTCGAACTATACCGTACTTGTTTGTTTTTTTATATAAGGGGGGGTGGGGGGGGGGGGCTATAAACAAAGCATCAGGCTGTCTTTGAGTTCACATGAACAACGGTTAAAGTTACTCGTCGTCTACAGAAGAATACCATAATTCAAGAGTCACGGAGACCTATAACAACCCAGCCACAACACATAATTAACATGTAACATGCAAATAACATGCCTTACCTTAACACAGAATCGACCACAGAGTCCAACGTTTATATTTTTTCTACAAATCTTTATGAGTTAACATGTACTAAACATGAGTGGAATTTGCACCGCAGCGCCCCCACACCTTGATGCTCATGACAAGAATAGCATGTATAGTTATCTTTATTGAAGTTAATTAGGTTTAAATCGCTGTCATGCTTGAATTAATGTTATTTTTGCAATTTTACACATAATAATCCACGATGATCACATTACACAAAACTGAAATTGCACGTCAAAATAACACATTGTCAATATTTTTTGAGACCCCCAAAATTTCACAAATCATGTTTTCAGGGGAGCCCATGGCTTATTAAGGGGAGCCGAGCTCCCCCTAGCTCCCCCGTAGTTCGCACCCTGGTTGTGCTGCTTAATACTTCAAAAATATCAATGCATTATTTTCAGGATTCTTTGATGAATACAATGCATTTATTTAATAGAATTATTTTGTAACATTATAAGTGTCTTCACTGTCACTTTTGATCAACACATCCTTGCTGAATATTTCTATATTTCTTTCTTTCTTTCTTTCAAAAAAAAAAAATCAGTAACCATCTTGGATTGATTTTCTCAAAACATTCCTTAATCGTGTTTTATAGCTTTATGTTCTTTATTTTGAAGGAGTAATGGGATCAGGATATGATGCAGTCCTAACATATGAGTCCCTGTGGAAGAACTACGTTTGAGTTTAACCTGTTAAGAAATATCACTGTTGAACATTTGTACTCCCAAAGCCATGTTCACAAGTCAGACAACAGTTTGGGGGAATTTAGAAATGGTTCTGTACTTATTTACCAATATGAAATGTGAGGGAAAAGCAGATGAAACACTCGAGGTGTGTTAAAAGCCTCTCTGCACCCTTCCTTCCCATGAATCCTCTAAAAACTGATCTGGTTTGGATCTGTCATCAGGAGTCAAGCCTTAATCCCCACATCTTGCTATTACACAATTTATACTTAATCCTACAACCTTGACTCTCTGATTATCGGGTTTATCTGTTTTTCAAATACGTGAAGCATGTAATGTTTTTTTTTTTTCAGAGTCCAGATGGCCGTGTGGAGGTGCGAGGCCGTTATGGTGAATCCATGCTGACTATTGTTGGAGTCAAGCTATCTGACTGGGGACGTTTTGACTGTGAGGCTCTCAGCAGGATCGGTGGACATCAGAAGAGCATGTTCCTGGATATTGAGTGTGAGTGGTCTAAATGTTACTGGAAATTTAATTAAATTGGCCACACCTTGCAGTAAATTTGATTGGGATTATTTATAATTTGAGCCACAGGAAGAGAAAATTAAGGAATTGCATTTCATAAATAATCATTAAGTTGAACTAATTAAGCCTATTTATTCACTGAGAGGTTTGTTTGTTTGTTTGTTTGTTTAATTTAATTATTTATTTATTTTTAGAATTAGAACTCTTTTTCTGAACAACATTCAATACTGTCAAAACAGATTTTAATACACTACCATAATATGTCCAACACATTCTTTTCAGATAATTTTATAATTATAAATATGATGTTCTTTGTCATTTTGTAGAAATTGTACCTTGACAAAAGGTTTGTTGCTGAAAAGTTGGTTATTGTGAGTGTGAAGTTATACCCTTCCTTACATAGTCTTCCCTAACTTGCACCTCCATAAGGTGTGCATTTGCTTTAATGCTTCTTAATATTTAATAATTATTGAAATCTATTTACTGACTTTTGGCTCCATTTTCGAATTTCCGTTTTTGTTTTTTTTTTCTGGGAAAATAAATGTTTCACTATTGTCTATAAAAAAAGTGCATTATTAATTAATTCATTCTGAAAAATGAATTGTATAATAAAAACCATTTACAACAAATTGTATTTAAAATTCAAACGACAGTTCTGTATCCTTAGAACCAGTGGCAGCATCAGAGTAGATATACGTCATTATGAGGTGCAGTGGAACAGACCATCTAGCAGGGTTGCTAATATACCCATTCAATCAGTCTCAATCCATCACCGATGTAACATTGTGGGCTGCATCAATCGTTTTAATGGAAAAAATGGGTGTGATTGTGTGTGTGCTGTTTCTGTGTGTCTATGTACTGTGTACTGTATGTGGGTGTAAGACTGAGAAATCACATATAATGCAGCATTTCCCAATACCACAGTACTCTCTATCTCACACCCTCTGCCTCATTGCGTCTCTCTAACATCCTGCCAAATTAAATCTTCCACCACCCACTGCATTGTGGGGGAAGAGGGGGGTTTGAGTTTATGCGGGTTGCTTTGAAAAATTAGAGGCAACCTGTGAGAAGTGGCCATGCTTCAGATTCCGTTTGATTACAAGCTCAATTTACCCATGTGAAAGTGAACTTCATGATAAAGTGTATGTGGAAGCTCTTACCTGCATGGTACATGCTAGAATTTCATTTAGACTTTGGGCAGCTAATCTTGAATGGGTTTTTGATGGATGACTGTTAGAAGAGCTTGGCGTGCCATTACTGAGCACTCCTTTACCATTCTTTCACAGATGCACCAAAGTTCCAAACCAGCCACACTATATTTTTCTCATGGGAAGGGAACCCGGTCAACATCAGCTGTGATGTTATGTCTAACCCTCTAGCCACAATGCTGTGGAGACGGGAAAAGTTGACCATCCCCAGTGAGGGTGCTGGAAACATGCGTGTACACAGTGCCCCCGGCAGATCACTCCTCGAGGTACAGTAACCCAGCCACTGCTGTTTCCAGTTTTTAAAAAAATGTTCTCACTCCTATTGGATTTTTTGCTAAACTAGATAAGAGATCCAGGAGAGTTAGACATTAATGACATCCAGGCCTCAACTCATTGGTGGCATTCAAGTAGTTACAGAAGGGGTCATTTTAAATGAAAATGACTAAAATTGTAAAATTATTTATGTATTTATAATTGAAAATATGTTTCTAAACAAAATTCAATAATGTTGTAACATGAATTTGATATATTAATTTTATTACAATTTTGCTTCAATTTTGACTTCAATACACCATCATAAGATATTCACCACATTGTTTTCAGTTAACTTAATAAATATAAATATTATGGTTTTTAATTCCATTTAATTTACTTAAAAGATATTTTATAAAAATTAATGTGCTATCAATGCTGCCATCAGATTTGTTTAAAAAGCTTAAAAAATAATCAGAATAAATGATACTGAAAATATACCGTTTAGATACAATTAATTATTACAGAAGTAAATAATATTGTATAAAAATATAAATGAATAAAACTATATGACTAACTAACTAAACGTATTACAGAACCATTTTGTACAGTATGTTACGGAGAGCTGATCATTATAATTTTAACCTTTTTTTCTTGAGCACTTGTTTTGTATTTTTGTACGATAAACAGTTTTGGTGCTGTGTTGGGTTGGCACTACTCTAATGCAAAATCTGTGAAAGTTTTTTGCTAAAACATATAGGTGTAGTGAGGTAGTTAAGAGATGTGGAAAAGTAATTACTGTCTGCAGAGCAGGGTCATTATCGATAACTAAAGCTAAAAACAAAACTAAAACCATTACATTTTTATTACTTCAAATTAACATTAACTAATAAAATATATACAAATAAAATTTGAACTTATTCAATTTCAGCCAGTTTTCTTTAGTTTAAAGTATTCCTTTTCCTTTAGTTTAAAGTACTAAAATATAAAAATAAACCTTATTTCAGAATATTAATAAAAACTATAATGGTATATAAATGATATGAAAATAACACTGGGCTTATTTGTATTATTTGTAGTGGTACAAGCAGATTTGCCCTTTTTTTGTAAACTCTTCTGTACTAGACAACACTTTGTTTCTCTGGAAATGTGTCCTCGGCAGTTGTGTTTACTAAGCAAATGAACACATGAACAACATAACAACAATAACTGACATTAGATGTGTAAAAAACAAGCACGTGAAACAAGAAAAATGTATGTAAGTTCACGCTAACACAACTATGGTCCTCAGGTTACCCCGATGTCAGACAGAGATTTTGGCCGTTACAACTGTACAGCCAGAAACAACATTGGGATGCGCTTTCAGGAGTTCATCCTAGCACAGGCAGGTGAGTGTTTACCACAGGTTCAGCTAATCCACATGACTAATGTGACTGTCAGTATATACCAGGGGTGCCCAAACTCAGCCCTGGAGGGCTGGTGTCCTGCAGAGTTTAGCTCCAACTTACCTCAACACACCTGACTGGAAGTTTCTATGCCTAGTAAGAGCTTGATTAGCTGGTCCAGGTGTGTTTAATTAGGGTTGGAGCAGCCCTGGTATATACAGTGTGTATAGAAAAGAATCACCCATGTTTAAAATAATCACATTTTGTTGCATTGCAGCCTGAAATGAAGACGGGCACAGTTATTGTTATATCGAGCTGTATTTACTCAGTGGGACTTATAACATCCAAATGAAAGATATAACACCAACATGCCAGGAAAAAAAAATAAAAAACAGAATCACTGAGTTGGAAAAAGGATCACCCCCTCCTAAAAATGACTTGTAAACTCAGGTGTAGCTAATCACCTTTTAAATGGCACACAAAGCCATTTGACTTTCAACTGTGATCAGCCGTGGTCATTTTGATTAGCTCAGCATGAAAATAGCTTTCCTGGAGCATTTCAGTCCTAGTCAAGCACTATAATATGATATTATGATAATCAAGCATTATTTAATGATAGAATTTTAGTAATTAGAATTAAAACTTGGTAAACATGTATATTTGTCATTGTAACTGAATTTAGGACTAGTGTCCTTAGGAGTAGGACTAGATATTGTTGGTCATTCGTGTTTCTGTAAAAAAAAAGGGGTGGGGGGGACTAACAATACTGCTGATAAGATAATAATAATAATACTATGAATTCTACTACTGATAACAATATAAAACTCACTAAGGATTAATGAGTTGCTGACCACCAGCCAATGAGATTGCCGTTTGCACATTAGTTCCGCCCACTACCGGAGAAACCAGCAGTATCTTATGGTTGTTCTTAAAAGCTGAAGAATTCCAAATGAACTCCGTTATTTTGACAGGAAACTACAACAAAGAATATAGTTTACATGTGGTGCATCAATTCTGCATGATATGTAAGACTCCCGCGCTCTCTCTCTCTTTCTTTGTGTGTGTGTGAGAGAAAATGCGACAGCAAAGCGACAGCAAGTCGTGCATCCGTCTTCACACTAGTTTACAGTACATCAAATATAGGTATGCTGTGCATCCATTGGGATGAATTGAAAACTAGCACAGGTAGCTTGACTGAGAGTTAAACTCTGAAGCGCTCAGTCAGAGTGTTCGGCGAGTGAAAATATATAGTATCTGTGCTAAACTTATACTTAGCCTCCAACTTAATAAAATCTAAGAATTTATTAGCCAATGGCTAATGTTAGACATCATTTAGTCACCCAGAGTGAAGATTTCGTCGCAAATGCAAGTGATTTGCTCGCATTGTAGAGAGTTGCATATGGGTGGTAAGGCATTGTCAAAAGATCTCCAGGATAAAGTTGTCGACAGGCTCAAGTCAGGAGATGGATACAAAAAAAAAATGAAAAGGCTTTATCAATGCCTAGTTGCACAGTGAAGTCTATTATTAAGAAGTCTATTATTATTTGGTACAACACAGATCTTCCCTGGATCAGGACGTCGCTCCAAACTGGATGAAAGAGCCAGAAGGAATCTGGTCAGAGAGTCTACCAAGAGGCCTACAGAAACGCTGAAGTAGTTGCAGGAATTTATGACAAAGAGTGGTCATTGTGTGCATGTGACAACAATATCACAAATTCTCCACAAATGTGGCTTGTATGGGAGGGTTGTGAGAAAAAAGCCACTCCTCAAAAAGGCCACATACAGTCACGACTGAGCTTTGCCAAAACACACCTTGAGGATTCTGAGGCAGATGAGACTAAAATTTAATTATTTGGCCTCAACACCAAACGATATGTCTGGGGGAAATCAGATTACAGCTCACCATCCAAATAACACCATTCCTACAGTAAATCATGGAGGTGGTAATATCCTGTTATGGGGGTGTTTCTCTGCAGCAGCGACTGGAGCACTTGTCAGGATAGAAGGAAAAATGGATGGGGCAAAATACTGTCAAATTCTTGAGGAAAATCTGCTGCCCTCTGCCAGAAAGTTGTCAATGGGAAGAAGGTTTACCTTCCAACATGACAATGACCGAAAGCACACAGCAAAACTGACCACACAGTGGTTGAAAGAGAAAAAGGTGAATGCCCTTGCATGGCGTAGTCAAAGCCCAGACTTAAACCCCATGAAAATCTGTGGAATGACTTGAAGACTGCAGTCCACAAACGGTCACCATCAAATTTAACTGAACTTGAGCAGTTCTGCAAAGAAGAGTCAGCAAATATTGCAAAGCTTAGATGTGTTAGTAGAGACATATCCCAACAGACTAAAGGCTGTAATCAAAAACAATTGGTTCAACAAAATACTGACACAATGGGGTGATCCTTTTTCCAACTCAGTGATTCTGTTTTGTTATTTGATTTTTTTCTGACATGTTTGTGTTATATCTTTCACTTGGATTTTATAAGCTGCACTAAGTAAATACAGCTGGATAAAACAAAAACTCTGTCTGTCTTCATTTCAGGCTGCAAAGCAACAAAATGTGATTTTTTTTTAAAGGGGGGTGATTCTTTTCTATGCCCACTGTAGCTGTATGAATAGGAGCATAGGTGTGTTTTAAAGGTGAAGTTTGTTAAACTACTTTCTTTTATTCCAGTTTAACGTGTAGAGACAATTACATATAGGTCATTCATAGAAACTCCGGAAGACTGTGAACACTGTGGTGCGAAATAAGATTTCTAATGTCACTACGATCCTTTCACGTCTGAAAGGTGAAGTGTGTCATTTCTGACTTAACGCGAAATTGAAAAAAATTGTTATTGTTTCCAAATAGGATTCCAAAACACAAACATCTGCCATTATTTGAACAAAGAGATCATTACGAACTCACTATTGGAGAGAGTTATCCTTTAGTATTCCCATTCATCTCGATGGCAGTTGCTCAATCTGTAGAACTTATCTTAAATGGGTCATAGGATGTGATTTCAAGTTTTCCTTTCTCTTTGGAGTGTTACAAGATGATTGTGCATAGATAAGATCCCGGAAGTTGCAAAGACTAAAGTCTCAAAACCAAAGAGATATTCTTTATCAAAGTTAAGACTCTGCCACGCCCCCCTAAAACGGCTCGTTCTAACACGCCCCCACATATCTACCTCACTATGTGGAAATATTAGCATAATGCCGCCCAAATGTGCGCACAAAGAAAGAAGGCGTGGTTTCAGTAACGCAGTTAGTGTTGAAGCAGCATGTCAGGGAGACGCTGTGTGTTTCTAG